ATTTGGTCACTGGAAAGCATGGACATACATTTGTTGCGATTTAGCAGGGTGTTAATGTATTCGTGCTTCCATCTCTGCCAGAAGTTCTGGAACATGTGCTGCAATCTCTGCTACTGGGTTAAACGGTTAACTGGTAAAGTTGTAAAAGTTGTAATATCTAACTGAGGAACGGCAGTTAACGAGTCGTTAAGGAAAAGGTGACCTGGCGTAAGGGCTATGAGATCTTTCGGTTCAGGGAAAGAGGTACCAGAAGTCAACAGTTGACAACTGACTCGGTTTGTACCAGAACAGGATATTTGTTAATTTTGCATTACCTATTATATAGTGTCCGACCGAAACTGGTTTTTACGACCGAAACCGAATTTCGGCAACGGTCTCAGTTTCGGCCGAAACTGAAACCGAAACTTCCTTATAAGGATCATGTTTTGAGAGAAAAATAAAGAATACGTTATTATAATCAGTCAGTTTCATTTTTTTATCTTTAAATCACTTAGCTCTGCAGTCTTCGACATTTTCACTTATTGGTAATCAAATCAAAATCAACATAACAACCCCTCATTTAAGGAAATACTTAAATTGCGCCTTAAAAATACTNTGCCAGACGCGGATCGCGATTTCGATCTTTTTGGATCTCATCAGCGCGTCGCAGACAGCTCCGACAGAACACAGACCAACTTTTACCTGCTGCCTTAATAGCGCGTTGTTAAAGAAAGAATAACTCCAGACATTAACAGAGTACATTTGGTAACTTCATTTTTGAGTATAGAAACATCTTATATATACAGTAAGCCATTCCTTATGACAACAAGACAAGACAAGAAGAAGATTAAATCGGTAATGGGCAGTCACCCTGTTAATTCCAAATGAATTCGATAAAGTAGCCCTCTTTCAAGTACCTAGCGGCATAAGCAAACGATATAAAATAAAATAATCACAGAAAACTGCGCTAAGGATACGCTGTATCATACGCCGTATTCTTTCAAATACCTATTATGTGAAATTCAATTTTGTTGATTCCTTGACTACATTATATATTTACAGTGATGAAAATTATACAAAAGTTTATGATTGATTAAGGCCTGAAATGTACCATCAGTATTTAAAACTAGAAACTCCCATTGATCAAATAGGAGAAAAGCAAAGAATTCAGTTTCAAAGATGTTGTCAATGTCTTATTTATTGTGGGGCCTTTTTCGAAAATGAAGGGGTAGTAAAATATCATCAACACTTAACAGGCCGTTTTAAGGGGTTAGTGCACTCAATTTGTAATTTAAATTATCAACAACAAAAAAAAATCAAGTTAATAAACGAAGTTGTAAAAGTTTTTATTTAATGAGAAATCAGGTCAACTTTTCGCAAAAGATAAGTGAATTTATCAAAGTAGGTTTTTGTTGTTAAATAATACCCAATTTAAATACTGAACCTTCTGTGTTGTCGATACCTATCAGATAAACAAATTGGTTTGACGGGGTTGTCACAGCACTAGATGATACTACGCTCAACGAGATCCTGCTCAACCCTGCAGACACGAGCAAGTACCTAAAAACGGAAATGGTTAAATACTTGACTAACTTCATCGACCGTCAACAAGTGCATCACAGAGCTTAAGCTTGGGGACAGAAAATCGTCCCAGCTTCTTCCACACGTGAGGTCCCTGGTTGCTTAATTTCAGTCAGTCCTATTCTCAGAGCTGTTCTATTCCTCGGAATTAGAAGAATCCGACGGCATGCTGGAATGCACACATCTCACCCTAACAGCTGCCCTAATGTGCGGTATTGGAACGCCTTGTTCCGACCACTTACTGCTCGTCCTCCAGGCTTCCCTGAAAGAAATCTTCCATCGAACTACCCTAAAGATTTCCGGCGAATGTTTTCTTCACTCACAATCAGAGCAACTTGGAGATCTCCAATCATACATTTATCAAGCCTACGCCATCTTCCAGGTGCATCTTCGTGAGTATTAGCTTTTTCTTTTAGGGCTTGCACTCGTGTTCCCACGTGTTTAAGAGGGTTAATTCTACCAGGAAACCTCCCTAGCCCTTGTACACAGGACCCCATCGAGTCATTTAGTAAGTGGACGATAGGCCATACGACATATACATAAACAGCTAACACCGGACCGTTTCCACAGATGCTCGAGACAAAGGACGTTATATAAATTTGAAATTTCAATCTCAGAAAGTTCATTTGGTATGTAAACTTTTTGTGAGTGCTCCTTTTTAAGTTAGGGACTTTAAATTTTGAATATGTATACCATTTTCAGTAGTAACTTTTCATTAGATTTTTAAGCATGCTTTGTATATTGTTATAAGCTGCCGTGGTGGCCCATAGACTCACTTTTTTTTTAATTCATTTTTTGATGGATCTCTTTTCCAAATCTTCATGCCTGGGAAGACCGCCAATATATAATCTACTGATGCTACAGTTCTCTACTACTGTAAGTACGCTATCTTCTATGAAGGTGATTTCCTGTAATAAATCCTTTTGAAGTACATTACGATTTTCATTGCTTTACGACTCTTTCTTAACTTTCTCACATTCAATTTCAATTTACACCATTGTAAATTGGGTTGTCCATGGCAGGCGACTCATTGCTGCCAGAGGAAAATTCTTCCGAAGCTTTAAACGCTAAACACGTCTCTTGGGGCTGTCGACAAACCAATAGTAAAGGCAACTTCCTTTTTGCCAAAAAGCACATAACCACTCTGTGCAACTTCACAAACGCTATCATGCGGCTCCACCACTTCCCTTTGGTATGGAGAGAAGCCACGGTCATCTGTCTCCCCAAAAAAGGGAAGCCTCTCAGCTCTCCCTCAAGCTACAGGCCATCAGCCAACTCAGTTCGTTGAGCAAAGTAGTGGAATCAATCCTTCTCGATCGGCTCTTAGACCACGTGGAGCAAAACAACCTTCTCCCCGATCATCAACACGGCTTCCGCAGGCATCACGGCACCGGACAACAACTCCGCGTATCCGAATACATTTTCTACAACCTTAACAAGCGGCGTCACACCTACATGCTTTTTCTTGATGTACATCAAGCGTTCGATCGAGTCTGGCACGAAGGCCTTATCTCAGAACTCATCACCCTTAACATTCCACATTTTCTAATAGGGGTTATCAGGTCCTTTCTCACAGACAGAAGCCTTCGGGTCCGCGTTGGCTCTGTTCTGTCTGCCAGTAAACCCGTTACAGGCGGTGTCCCACAAGGCTCCAAACTATCACCTATTCTATTCAACCTGTTCTGTGCGGACATGCCCTCCGACACTTTCCTTTTGAAAGCTCTCTATGCGGACGACATCGCCCTCATAAACTCCGCCCAAACCATGCTCCAATGCATAGGGAGAATTAATAAGTTTCTACTCCTGCTCCTAAACTGGTACCGAAAATGGAAACTCTCCATTAACGAGACCAAATCGGAAGCAATTTTCTTCTCATGTAGGCTCCGAAAACCTCTCTCCATCATCGTCAATAACCGCCCCCTCAAATGGAGCAGTTGCGTCACCTACCGTCTTCTTCGACAGATACCTAAATTGGCGGCACCACATTAAAGCGACCCGTAATAAGTCTCGGGGTGCATTCATCGCACTTAAACCATTCTTCCGTAGTAACACCATCTCCCAACAGACTAAAATCCGTGCGTTCAACGCAATTATTAGAAGCATTTGCTCCAATGCCATTCCCGTCTGGGGCTGCGCCCTTCTCCACTGTCAGAAACCTTTGCAAAGCACCTACATGCGGATTATTCGCTTCGCATTAAACTACCCGTCGAGTCGTCAGAAACACCCAAATTCTGAATGAAACCGGTTTACTTTCTCTCCCTGAGGCTGCAATCTCGTTTGCAATAAATCTCCGGGCCTCAGTGACAGGCAACGCAAACCCCATCATCTCGACACTCTCTAACTTCACACCGAAACCAAACGATCGCTTCCGAAGACCCTATCACCATGTACAATGAGCAGCTCTCTTTAGCTCACTACTAGCTCCTTGCTTCGCTTTTTAGCGCGAGTGTCCACCCAGCACTTCAGAGGGGACCACCTACTTCGGTTTTCCTCCCCAACAGTCCCTTCTCCTCCGCACTGTGAACCCTCTTTCAAACTCAGCCCTATCCCCAATCCCCAGCCTTCCACTTTCTTAACGGGGATGAGCAACCCACAGGGTTTATCTCCCAGCTCGAGGAGGGGTTTTAGTCGGTAAGAATCCGACACTACCTCCCTTCGAAGGGTGTCTTTTGAAGATTTCCCCTCGTCGAGGATGAACTAAACAAAAAAAAGAGACAAACCAGAGGGGAGAACTATAGCTACCAACCAGCTGAAAAGCTACCCAACCTTAACCGTTATCTTGTCTCCACCGCCCACGTTAGCAAATCTACCACAATCGCAACGATCTCTGCTCCAAAAGACTTGACGTCTTCTGCAGAAGTTGTTGAATTCGTGTTCGGACACCGATAGAAAACCAAACGAATTTTGCTAGTAGGGTAATTAAGTAAATGTTTTGGTCTATGCTCGGCCAGTCTAATTTCATTCATTAAACAACACCGTTTACCACGATCTAATAACGGAAATGGTAAGTGATACCTTTACTGCAGCTTGATATTGTTCTATTTGCCTTTCAAAAAAAAAAACGTCGGTTTGGTCAGTGATTATTCTAAACTGCGTACAACGTGCGAATGAGAACTAATAAGATCGAAATTGCGGTTCACGTCTAGTAGTCTCCATACATTACTGGCGAAAAACTTAATATTCTTCATTCAAATTTCCGTTGGTTTATAATATATTTCTTGAATTATGAAGTCAAAATATATATATATACAGTGCGTTTTTGTCTTTTTTACCTAGAATCGCAGTCATAAATACGTGTCATTAGATATGTCAAAATAAAGGAACATGAAAATAAAGATCATATTATTAAAGATATACAATTAGTTATTCTTATGATGAATCGACATTTCTGAACTAGGAATCAATGACGGATAAGAGAATTAAAAGGGGAAACAATTCGGTTATTAGTGAATCTTGTTTATTTTAATAAGTATCTTTCTTTAGAGTGATGCAGTATCTCTAATGAACTGACGAATGGCTGTGACGTTAGTGTAGACTCCAGGACTTCCCTTCCGTGCACACCCACGACCCCACGATACGATACCGATGAGGGTGTTATTGACAACCAAGGGTCCTCCAGAATCGCCCTAAAATTTAAAAGGCATTTAAAAATAAAATTTGTTCTTCACTCTCGATCACATTAAGACCATGTCTAGGATGAATGTCTTTTAGCTATACGTAACATCTTAATACCATTTAGTGTGCATGTTTCAAAACAATCTAATACTTCTTCGTCTTAGCGTATCTCATGTATGGAATTTAAGTGTTTGCATAAATGAAAATAATGAAAGGTATGATAAAATAAAATGGTAGATATACTGATAATAAAATTGATCAGCTAAAATTAATTATTGGTGTTGAAAGAATTAATTACACGACATCAACAGTAACGTTGAGCCTGTTGAATACACAATATCCGTGGATTAGAACAGTACGTGCATGAGTCCCGACTATAAACTGAACGGAGTGGGAGCAATTGTCCTTTTCAATCCCTATTTCAAATAATACTCAACAATATTCACATATATATTGATGATGAAAAGATTCTGGGCTTTCCTGCCGCGGTCGAATTCTGATTGCAGACGTTTTTCCATGCTCAATTGAAGGCATCTTCAGTGCTTCACCATGTATCATCGGCGGCTGAATGGTTAATGTGGAATTTCAGGCGTGCTTTTATTTAGTTTCGGTATTTTACACCCTCGTAATAGCCTGACGTACGTATTGACACTTGCGTATCTTCGAAGGAGATCCTGTGTTCTTTCTTCCAAGGATGCTATGCTAAAATGATTTGTCTGGTTTCCTTGTTGCGATCGTACCATTCGTCATGCCTACGTATACCTTGGAACAATCTCCGCAAGGAATCAAGTAGACTGCTGATGAATGTAGTGGGTTTAATTGGTCTTTAGGGTTTCGTAGTAACTGGCGTATCTTCGTCGTAGGCGTGAAGATCGTCCTAATTCCGTTCTAACGTAGGAACTTAAAAATCCGATCCGTTACTTTGTGGATTTACGGTTCGTAAATGTTCAAGTTATTCTTGGTGGTATTTATCATCAGCTAACGTAGAAGCTCCATGAAATAACGTTTTGACCACGGTGTGTTTCTGTGCAAGATGGTAGTTGGAAGTATTCTGTAGGTATCGCCCCGCATGCGTCCTTTTCCTGCAGATACCCTCTTTAAAGTTCTAGAAGGGGTTCTTTGAACGAAACTATCCAAGAAAGGAAAGGTGTAACCTATCTCCTCTTCCATTGTGTAGTTGATGTTGTTGTGTTGCCCGTTTAGGTGTTCTAAGAATTGATATAGATGTTCTTTCCGTGTTGCCAAATAATGAACGTGTCATCCACGTATCTAAGTCATAATTTGGGTTTATTGGGAGCTTTGCGTAGAGTTTCCTTTTCAAAATTTTCCATAAAGAAGTTCACTAGGACTGGACTGAGTGAATTCCCCATTGCTACACCATCTTCCTACTCGTAGAATTGTCCACTCCAGAGAAAGTACCATGAAGTTAAGCAATGATTATATTAGACAAGCAAACTCGTGATTCTTGCACATACTACTCTAATTCTATGTGCGTTTCACTGTTGACACCACTTAAAATATTTTATGAAACACTTTAAGAAACTTTTTTAGCATTTAATAATATTGAAATATCAATATGAAATTAATTCAATTTCTAACCACTACAAATTACTTTATCTGTCACCTCTCGTAGCTTAGTGGTCAGAGCAGTGGTGAGCGAGAGCACCAAGAAAAAGCGATAAAGGCGACGAAGTGATGAGTGGTAGCGACCCTCCTAAGGCATCGAGTTTGACTGGGACGCTTTATAGAAAGAACACCGCAAATGAAAAGGCACAATTGAAACGCTAATTAACGACTTAGGATACGACAATGAAGGGAGGAAATACTACAGGAGAGAAATCAAAGCATTCCACAGATCCATTAGAGGGGGACCCCTCATACTATATAAATATTACCAAAAAGAGGTTAGAAAATGAAGAAGTAGAACAAACAACTGACACTAAGAAAAAATTTCACATTGCAGTAGAAACAAGCTATTCGTATATTCCATTGCAAAGCGAAGAAACGTCTTCAACAGGAGAACATGGAAGTAAGAAAAAGAAGAACATAAATGTAGTAATTATCCCAAAAGTGAAAAACTACGCAGAGCTGATAAAACACATTAAAACAAAAGATATAAAGAAGGGATTCCACTTAAACTACAGCAACGACTCTGTTAGTGTTTTTATCCACGATAAACCAAAAAGGAAGAATTTCAAAGTATGACAAAACAAGAAGGGATTCCATTCTACATTTATTCTGAAAAAAATAAAAAAACACGACGCAATTGTGCTTAAATGACTTGATTCACGGCCGGAATGTAATTTGGTTCTAAGTGAATTAAAAAACGAGTACAACGCAATCAACTGCTACCAAATGAAAAACACCAGTAGGTCTACCTACCTTATAACCACAGATAGCAAAATAAATGTTAATGTTAAGTTCCTAAAATAACACGTAGAACTAATGCAATATAAGGCAGTACAATGGGAAACGTACTACAATAGGAACAAAATGATCCAGTGTCATCGGTGCCAATGCAAGATGCAACAAGCAATTATAACCTTACACCAAAGTGTACGAAATGTGCCAAAGAACACTTCACTAAGGAGTATAATCTAAGTCATAGTGTAAAAGTGAATTCCATAAATTGCAATAATAAACACGTGACCAACAGCATTGAGTGCCCTGTATACAACACATCGAAGAACAGAAGCAGAAACTTAAGCAGGTGAATACAAATTAAACACGAATGCAAAAAATACAATAACTCCGTCCATACTGAAACGACCAACGTCATCGGAAATCAAAAAAACATCAACATACGACGATATACTAAAAAAGATCGCCTAACTGCTACAACCACAAGGTACAGAACTAACAGACCATTTAGAATTAACAAATGAACATAATAATGATTAATATTAAAGAAACACTTAAAATTAGTAAAGAAGTAAACAATAAAATGTCACTGACAGAAAGTAAACCAGAAGAAAACGCAAATATTTATATAATTTATGTTAAACTTAGAATCCTTAAAATCGCATCATGGAACGCTAACGGTTTAAATGCGAAACGAAACAAAACTTAACAAAGACGATATTGTCAAAAACAAAGGATACAAAATTAAAAGGCGCGATTGGTACTGGAAACGCAGGATGGAGTCTTAGTTCTTATCAAAAACAACATCCCCGTTGTAGATGTACTCTTTACGAGAAACAGCATAGAAGTGATATGCTTCAAGTTGGCTAATAACGCACATAGCACATAGGTAAAAGTCTAGATTATGACCCCCACCCCCTTCGGGATGGGATCGAAAGAGGGGGTCTCCCCCACCACTCTACCATAAAAAGTTCGTGGCGGTCTCACCCCCATAAAAAGTTATAGGGGTTCAAAGTTAATAAATATGCCAATTTTTATACATTTCTAGGCATGTAAATATTTATATAGTCATTCTTAAACAATATTCAAAGGTAAAACTAATGAAAAATACATAAAAATATTGAGAAAGTTATATAAAACATTATTTAAATATCTTTATCAATAGGGTAGGTTAGGTTAGGTTATCGGGTTTTGTTCAAGTGACCACCCTCTTTCGATCCCCCACCTCCACCCGCTTGAAAATATTTTTTTTATTGAATTTTATTTGAATTATAATGTATGAAAATTGTCAAAATAATCAACTTTCAACCCCCCCAAGTTTTTATGGGGATGAGACCGCCGCAATTTTTTATGGGGTTTTACTCAGATGATAACCCTCTTTCGATCCCCCCATCCTCTTTCTATCGCCCCTACCCCCACCCCAATCTAACCCCCATAACTTTTTGTGGGGGGAGACCGCCACGAATTTTTTATAGTACAGTGATGCGGGAGACCTCCTCTTTCGATACCACCCACCCCACCCCCTTTGGACCATCATCTAGACATTTACCACGCACTTATAGCAGGAACATGTAACTTACGGAACAGGAATCCTTGCCACCTTCGTCGTAACCAGCACACAGCATTCTTTCGGTGAGGTACTGTCCGGAAAGGTTAAGAGTACTTCTGCATTTGTCTTGTGCGATAACCGGTACACAAACTGCTTGTAGTTCATCACTATAACTGGCATTAACATATTCTGACTGCGTTCCCCACCCTACAACCGTTCCATTGGTTCCTGGTGCTATTTGTTGATTTGCATCAATTAGTTGAATACTACGAATTGTATCACTGAAGGTCAAATTATGTAACAATTTTATCAAACCGACATCATAGTCGGGACCTGCGTTAGCCAAATAAGGAGGCTCTGAGTACTGAGGATGGATGTAGAGTTCTTCAGCTTTTACTAAAACACCTTCATCGCCTTCTTCACGTTCATCACCAGCAAAAACCGTTACATTTATTGCATCTACGCTTTAAAAGAAGAATAGATAATTAATTACGAATATAAACTAATAAAGAGTAAAATTAAAGTTAAAACACTTGTACACAATTTTATTGTCAACCTAACATACGTTTCGTCACGGTGCGGCTTTTTCAGATGTTTTACAATTACAATTGCTTCAATTCTAATTCTACAATGAACCTCCAAAGAATAAAAGAAGATTTACTGGATAATACTAAAGATACCTAATTTATATATCCTAAATAAGCTTATAAATAAGTATTTTGTACTTGTAACGGGGCTAAATATAGGTATGTATAACACCCTTATGTTAGACACATTAACAATAGACTAACTTCTGACAAAATTAACTCGTACTTACTCAGTTAAACACTGACCCGCCGTAAGTATCCATGCGTTAGACAATATTGATCCACCGCAAAAGAAAGAACCCGTAGTAATTTGCACTGCATAGGGATAATCGTTTATTGATGCTCTAGACCCTCCAGCTATTCTAACAGAATCCAGTGAATCGTATTGCTCAAATTGGGCATTCTGAGGAAATGCTAATAAAGGAAAATTATATTTAATTTACATATCAGATATCAAAATAAATTAATTGTTTACAAAGAGTTAACTGTATATAGGCATAAAGAACAATTACATGTTCGGTTCTTTTATTGCCACATCTGTATTTATTACAGATTCCAATGACATGCGAAACTGTGTTCATGAATCATCTTAATCGACATGCAGGAACGAGGGTTAAAGGTTTGGGGATTCAGGGTATTAAACTGATTGTGATTCATAACTAAATACCAAACTTATTATTTTTAGTTTAAAAATAACAGGTTGTTAAATAACAGCCGGCTAAAGAGGCTTCGAAATAACGGTCCGAGACAGAGGGGTTACAGTAGGTATGTCCGAGGACTCCTTCCTTGAGAATCCAACACTTCTTAGTTGTTCGGACGTGTGGGTGTGTGTAAAGATTTCCTGTCTTCCACGAAAACAAAAAAATATATATTTCAATTCCCCCCCCTCATTAAAACGGGATACAAAATTTGTATAAAGAAGTTCAAATGTAAACTTTGAGGGAAGTAGAACACAACTTTAGAATGATAAAAATAAGTTAATATCTGTGTACAAGCAGCAACCCATTAAGAGGTATGTCCTTTAAGTATCAATAATATTTTACAAACAAATGTATAGTACGTAACCTAGTAGAATTATAAGTTAAAAAAAAACAAACATTATTTCAGTTTGGAGATAGTTGAATAAACCGAACTTTTATAAAAAACATATAGTTGTTGTCTGGAAAAACTATATATTTTCCTATCTATAGGATCGGGAAAATAAATAACATAACGTTTTAAGTGTAGTTGTAATAATTTTCATTGTCTTTACGTATAATTACAATAATATAAGCTACACCCAAGAATTGTAGAGTGCATCGTTTTCGAAGTACTGCACTGCTTCGAAAACGATTGTCATGAGTAACGTGATATGCTCTTATGATAGAAAGTTTGTCGTCTAACGTATACCAATTGGTTGTATACCTAGTAGTTTTTGAGATAATCAACTGTTTTTGAAAAAAAAACAATTTCAGTTCTTTCAATAACACCTTGTAGCGTCTATACCATAAAAACTAAAAACCTGCGTTTGAAAAGTTCACTTTAACACGAATTACCGTTTATGTTTTGCTATGAGAAAAATGTGTACGTTATTCAGATCTGGAAATATATAATCTACTTTTAACCATCTTACAAAACGATTAACTTTTTCTTTCAAACGGAGTGATCCATGTTAAATGATACCGTTCAATGCAAAATTAAAAGCTTTTTCGACTTATATGAAGTCTAAAACATTATTCTCTAACAGTTTTCCCTAAAAAAAACCCATTATTTTAAGTAAGAAAAAATACATGTCTAAGGAGTAGCGTATTAGGCTTTGCAATATATAAAAACATTTTTATTATTAATGTGTATGATGTATAATAACAGAATTATGGGCGTAATGCATATTGTTTTGGACTGTTACTAATAACTGATATAAAAACCGAAATGTGTACTGGGACACATAGTAGAAGTGAAACTTAAACGGACAATGACAAACGAATCGCAACAAAATTTTTACTTGAAATTTTTCGAGCAGATTTTCAAGTTGGTAAACACATTAACGATCTGCCCGTAAAACTTGAAGTAAAAATTTTGCTGCGATTCGTTTTCCCACTTGTCCGTTGAAGTTTCACTTCTACTAAGTATCCCAGCACACATTTCGTTTTCACAGGTTTACTGCAAATTATGATTTGATTTTTACACAGACCGCAAATAGAGGCAATGACGCCCAGTCACGTGGAGAGCAGAGGTAAGAAAATAACAGCTGAGCACGTGAGCACAGCACACGCCGCCGGGACTCTAGCGGACTCCTCGCTCTCCGCGCGGCAGCACATTATATCCATCTAATAAAGCCGTTGTTCTCTTTCTGCCGCCGCCAGCCTTTCTTTTCCCCAACGCTACCGCCACTCACCACGCAATATCTCGTCTACCCCCTCCACGCGGCCGTAACCCTTTTTCTTGACAGAAAAATCGCAATATCCTCCGCCTATAAAGAAGTTTCACTCACTTCAAAGATAGTAATGTGTTACACGGGTTTGTTATCTTGAAGTCTTCATTAGCAGCCTTTAGTTAGCTTAGTGGTCAGAGTGACATATTTTCATTTATTTGCAACTTGCACACTAGTTACTTATTTAATTTATATCAACCTAGTCTTCTGAATATCAACCACTATGCTGTGTTCGTCACTTCTCGACCTTCACACTAACACACTGTTGTCAACTGACCAATGCTGTTAACTGCACAACACACACTATCCTTATCTGTATTACCACAGGTAGTATATATTTTTATTGTGCAGTACGGTATAAATTAAGAGCAAAGTTTGAAGAGGCTACTTAACTTTTTTCTCATTTTCAAAGTAGTTGTTATTTAAGTATCTATTTATTTAATTATTTCAAGATGTCTAGACACAGTGATAAAAATGAAGTAAATTTAATTGCAATAATTTTTTATTAATTAATTTATCAATTTTAGTATATTAATTGTAAACAATGATTTTTCAATTTGTCAAAACATTTCTTTGCATTCCTTTCTATAATCACTGAAATAAATTCTTATGGCTTTCAGAGGAATCGGTTGAGGAGAAAGGAAATATACTGCCTTTGCAGTACGAGTGCGAGTGACCAAATGTGCCATAGTTACCATACCAAAACTGAATTGATTTTAAACTAAAACTGGAATGAAGGTACACGAACCCTGAACTAAATTTAAATTTAATAAAAAAGGCAAAAGCCAGTGGTAATCCATCGGCACTACAAAGAACATACGTATTCATTATGAGAATGGATTTATTACTTCTGGCGCTAAAAATATATTTTTTGTTACCCTGTTACCATTTTCTGAAGACTTATAGATGAGTTGTTGGTTCCGGAAACACCACTAAACACGCACATACATACATAAGTGCACCACAAAAATTTTTCGAAATTAGAACCGAGCGGTAGAAAGAGGCTTCAAAGCGTCTACCAAAATTATTTCTCACTCGTGCAAAACATCAGGCATTTGGCGAATTTCATTTGCAGCGATCTTCACATTGTACGCTGGCGAATGATACGCGCCTGTTTCATACAAAAAAAGTATATAGAGTTAAATCCCACTACCAAGAATGTAACCATTACTCTGTTTCCTGAAAAGCCATAATCTAAAATATTCTTCAGTGAGCTAGTGTACCGAGAATGCATTAACTCCCTTAACCTCTTCTATCGATCGATCTATAAAATCTTAGCGATTTCGCAAAAATATAAATTACATGATCTAACACTATCATCTAAAAGCTTACTTTTAATGCTTACCCAGAGAAATGGAAACTAATGCTGTCAAAATTAAAGTTCGAGCCATGACTGCTAAATAATCAACCAGAAGTTGAACTTTTACTTTTATAGGTATGTTCGTATCTCATTATCTCGTCTCTGTGATTTTATGATTTTAGTTATGTATTCATCTGTAAATATCTACTTAAAGGTATTATCTGAATATACGATAAATTAATAAGACTTGTACACAGCGGTTTTTGAAGCACTTGAACCACATTGAACAAAACACACGCCATTATTGACTGCCGATTCATGTTTCATGGTTATCACATTATAGACACGTGTTCCTCTAAGTGCAGAAAATTAAAAAGTTAAACAGTTAAAAAGAGGTAATTGATTTATATACGAATAGACGTGCAGTGCGTAAAAGAAAAAGAAAAATGTGATCACCCGGATGGCCATGCCACTAAAACATTTTTAAAACGTTTAGTATAATAAAAGTATTTAATAAACTGATGAACAACCGATAGGAATCAATGAAGGGGATTAATTATTAAACATACGTATTCAAAACTCTTCGGTCTGAACATATACAGGCCTGACGCTGGAAGCTGGCGGATATTTTAAAATGGCGTGGATGCGCGGTGGCAAAAGTAGGCAGTTTTAGGTATAAATATTGCAGCCCTTATTCTTCAGTACTCCTATCAGGGGCGTAGATTAAATATTTAAAAATAGGGATCAGTGAGCAAGTAATAGACAGACAAACAGAAGAACTAATTGTTGATGTTGGTGACAGTTATAGAGATTCCCATGATGAGAGTGAATGTGAAAACTAACTATAAAACAAAAGCAATAGGTT